ATCGGAGCTTCTTCGTGTGATGGACCAGCAAAGATGGAGTCTGCCCGCCTACGAGTCCATGGCTGGTTCTGACCCGGAGCTAGCAGCGCTGCTTCCTGTGTGCTCTCATCATCGTCTTACGTGAACTTCTCTGTGTGATCTGTGAAAATGAACTAGAAATAAAAACCTCCAAACCTGATTGGGCAGTCCTCCATTCACGTCCCTCCTCAGCCTGCCTCCGATTGGTCGAGGGACAGTCAGCTGATAGGAGGACAGGTGCTCGGTCTGGTGAGAGTCTGCAGGAGGAGACGGGAAACTAATCAGTTCAGTTTGCTCTGTAAACAAGTTCAAATCCTTCGCCACAGCCTCAGAACTGAACATCATTTGGTGCACGTGTCTGCATAAAACATCAGCTGAGAGGAGGTTTGTCACCTGACTCGTTCATGAAGTGCTTTACTAACCCGATCATCACGGCTAACAGCTGGATTTTCCTGTTTGAGAGCCGCTGACCACACAGCCAACAGCCACTTCCTGTTAAGGACGCGCAGGTCCATGTTTAACATGAACTCATCGCTGCAGCACGACGGTGATCCTCACACTAAAAAACGATTATTTTCCTAATCGATGAATCTAACGATTAATTTTTCAATCCGATTTGATTATCGATGATTTCCCCAAAATTTGACTCGTATATCAATTTCACATTTACTCATTTATGTAAAACACAAATTTCTTCATTTGAACACCTTTTAATAAAAACATGCTGTTGAACTGCGTGTTTGGTGGAGTGATTTAAGTCGACTGCGGCTGCCTCATTCATGTTGCCGCTACTCGCTGCCGCCATGTCTGTTTTGAAAGTGACGACGCATCGACACATTTTTTTACGTCGACGTATTTTACGTGTTGACGTAATCGATTACGTTGACGCGTCGTCCCAGCCCTGCCTCACATTGATGTTTCGTTTCTGTGTCCTCATTTTCCTCTGCGCTATCGATGATGTCACTAGTTAGCCAACATAAGCTAATGTGAGTCTGTTAGCCACAACCAACCAACCAGGTGACATCACGTCCTGTGCTGACAGAGGATGGCGCTAAAAATGTTTTTAAAGCTTCACAGTTACGTCAGTGTCACACATGATCCACAGACACGATCCAGAATCTGGATTTTATGCACATGAAACTCATCTTTATGTCTCTGATGACACTCCTGCTCTACTTCCTGCGTGCGTTTGCCTGGTTTGAGCTCAGCCGGGTGTGTTTCCACACTGTCTGAGGAGCATCAGTGAGACCTTCAGCAGAACATCAATGAGTCCAGCCGCCCCTGCACACCATCGCACCACATTCTCTCTCCGGATTTCCTCCTCGATGGGAGGCGGGACTTTTGAACCCGCCGCCCCGGCCTGTGAGGTCTGCTGACATTCAGCCTCACCCTTCTTCTGTTTTCCTTCTTTAGCTTTGAGCTGATAAAGTAAAGCAAACACGCTCAGAGCAACATGACGGCCTGTTTGGAAATGAGCTCAGTGAAAGAAAATAAATCCAGCCGCAGAGCTTTAAGCTCCTTACGGCGCCGCTACAACAGCTCCACTGTTTCCTCTACAGCAGCTGAACGCGTCCTCAGCAGCTCCTGTTGGCAACAAAGCAGCTGATCCACACACAGGTATCAGTGTCACACTGCAGCTCAAATCACAC